ACTTGCTTTCAATACTAATGTTTCAAACAACAATCACAACAATACTAACAACAGAGCCAAATCTAATCAATCATATAAGAACTTCAAAAAGGATTCTCCGTTTTGTATGCATTGCAAGAAGACCAGTCATACACAAGATACGTGTTATCGCCTACATGGCTTCCCACCGAGATATAAAACTCAGTCTCATGCTAATTTGTTGATGTTGATCAAACATCTTCAACTGTTAATCAATCACAACAAGTTTCTTCTTGTAATGTTCATGATGCTTTGACTAGACTTACTCAACAACAATGTGAAAATCTAATTGCAATGCTATCTGGTCAAATTGCTTCTACAAATATGGTCACCACTTATGCTAATCATGCCTCTGTTTCAGAGAATTTAGCAGGTAAATACAAAATTCTTACTCTTACTTCTGGGAATTATATGTCTATTATTTAGATTCTTGATTCGGGGGCTACTCAACATATTTGCAATGATAAAGGTATATTAAAAAAATCCAGACTGTAAAAGGCACTAGAGTAAGGCTGCCAAATCATAGTCTCATTCAAGTTCATTATAAGGGAGATATACAACTCACAAATGAGTTGTTTCTTACAGATGTTCTTTATGTTCCTCAATTTGAACTGAATTTGATATAGTCACATGTTTGACCAAATCACAGTTGCTAATGGTTAAATTCTACCATAACTTTGCTTTGATCAAACAGATTTTCCCCAAGAAGATGATTGGCAGGGGTGATGTTCATGAGGGATTATATTTGTTAGATGTTCCACAAACTACTATTGCTTCAACTAATGTTGCTATCTCTATTCAAAAATGGCATTCAAGATTTGGGCATCCTTCAAATGACAAAATAAGAATGATCTTGGCATTAGTAATAAAGATGATAATGCTTTACTTTGTTCTATTTGTCCTTTAGCTAAGCAAAAGCGATTACCCTTTGTTTCTTTAAACAATGTTGCTAGTAATCCACTTGATATACTTCATTGTGATGTGTGGGGTCCCAACCAAGTTACTTCATATCAAGGTTATAAATACTTTGTTACTTTGGTAGATGATTGTAGACGAAGAACAAGTCTGATGTGCAATATGTGATCCCAAGGTTTTTAAATATGATATCCACACGATTTAATGCTAATGTAAAAAATTTCAGATCTGACAATGCTAAAGAGTTGCTTTTCATTAACTAGTTTCAAGCTATAGGCATACAACATCAGTTTTCTTGTGTTGAGAGGCCACAACAGAACTTTGTTGTAGAACGAAAACACCAACACATATTGGCCACTTACACAATTAGATGTGAACAATGCATTTCTAAATGGAGATTTAGAAGAAGTGTATATGCAATTGCCTCAAGGGTATTCTGGTAATTTTTCTTCTTCAGGACAACAACAAATGGTATGTAAACTCCAAAAATCTCTTTATGGATTGAGATAGGCCTCACGACAATGGTACTCCAAGTTTTCCAGTTTTTTAAGCACTTTGGATTTCACACAATCAAAATCAGATTATTCTTTATTTTTTAAAGGTGTTGGTTCATCATATGTTGCTTTGCTAGTTTATGTGGATGATATAGTCATCATAGGAGCATCAACATCTGAAATACAGTTGGTTAAAAAAGCTTTAAGTGCTCGTTTCAAATTAAAAGACTTTGGGAATTTGAGACATTTTTTAGGTCTTGAGATTGCTAGATCAAAAACTGGAATTTTTATTTCACAAAGGCAAACTCTAAAGCTTCTTGAAGATATGTGACTTTTAGCAGCAAAGCCAACACAACTACCTATGGATCCCAAATACAAATTATCAAATTTTGAAGGAGAATTTTTACAAGATGAGTTTCAATACAGAAGACTTATTGGTCGATTGTTGTATTTGACCATCACAAGGCCTAATATCACTTATGTTGTTCATCGTTTGAGTCAGTATCTCAACAAACCCAGAACTCATCATATGCATGCTGCAACACATCCTCTTAGATACTTAAAATCTAATCCAGGACAAGGGTTATTTCTTTCAGCAACTAATTCTCTCCAATTAAGAGCTTTTCGTGATGCTGATTGGGCAGGATGCAAGGCCACAAGAAGATATGTTACGGGATTTTGTGTTTTTATTGGAGATTCTCTCATTTCTTGGCGATCTAAGAAGCATAATATTGTAGCTCGATCATCTACAGAAGCAGAATATAGAGCCATTGTTGCTGTCACTTGTGAACTTATGTGGTTAAGACACTTGCTAAGTGATTTTGGTGTAACGCAAAATGAAGCAAACCTCATCTTCTATGATAATCAATATGCCATCCAATTAGCATCCAATCCTACTTTCCATGAAAAAATGAAACACACGGAGATTTATTGTCACTTCATTCGGGACAAAATCATTGATCAAACCATCAAACTTCTTCCAATAAGAACTCATTTTCACCAAACCATTAACACGTGCTAAATTGTTGCCTTCAATGTCCAAGATGGCCTTGAAATCTATTTTTTCACGGTCATCTTGAGGGGGGATACTGGGGGTATTAATGTAATTTAACAGTCTAATTAGTTAAGATTGTTAAGACCAATTACTTAGTTAGAGGCTGTTAGCGTATTGTAAACATGTATATAAGCGTCTTTGTAATCAGTATTGCACTAATGAGAATTACAGTTTATCTCTCTTTATTTCTTCCCATATAAGTTGTTACCCGTTAGACTGCAACATCATTCCTCCTTATTAGATATAGGCAAAACTTTCACCCCCTCTTCCTCTCTTCTTATTCCCTTTCATTTACTTTGATTTTGTTTTTAGGAAGTGAGGTTTGAAAGTAAATACTAGATATTTGATAACTAGAATGATAGCTTTAGTGACGGATAAATTCTTATTGTTCAAAAGTACTTTTTGTGGAAGAGAAAAATGAGTTTTATTTAGAGTTTCATTTTATAAAAATAAATATGTAAATAATTGTAGTAAGTTTATTTTACATTTTGAAAAGGTTATGTGAAACACGGTGGTGTTTGGTTAATCTCTTTAAGAGATGGTTCTTGTAAATAATTATAGTAAGTTTAATGTTTTGTTTTTTCTGTCATGAATTCTTTCACTTATATCATATTCTTTCAACTTATATAATATAATTGACTACATGTTTCAAGCAAATTTGTAGAAAAACTAAAACTCTTTCACTTTTATTGTTGTAAACAAGTTACAATAAAACCCCACTGCAAAGAAACCTATTCTACCCCTACAGTCAAATACAAGAGCCCGAATCTAAACATTGAGTTTTAATATGACGAAGACAATATCTCCAACAGAAAGAAAACAAAAGTAAAAAAAAAAAAATATCTAAATGTACATTGAAAACCCCAACATACCTTCAACTATAGAGGGAAATAACCAAAATAAAAATAAAACCTAGACAAAAAAGAGACGATGATTATGTATAAAAATTGATCTAAAACACGCAACTTCAGTTTATGTAGTCAATAAACTCGGTTCAGACCCATGTGGAGAAGTTGACTCGCAACTCTTTTAACTTTCATCAAACAAACCCCATTCCTCAGATTTAGACAAATGTGTCACACTTCAACCAGGTTAGCTTTCCTGATGTTGACAATTGGAAACTTGAACTCTGAAAATGGTTGGAGCCCTAACGAAAGGGACTCTCCAAAAATAAGCGTATGCCACTTAATGCAGCGAACACACGGTATTCTTTAGTAAAAGGCGAAAGAATAGTTCGCTTTGTGTTCACTGCGTAGCTGCGTGCTTTCTCAAATCCCAGCTGCTTGGTTTAAGTAATGAGTTTGATACCTTCTGTTTTATTCAAATAGCCGATGTGGGATGAACCCCATACCTGCATCCCTCTTTTTCAAACCCTTCTCCCACTTTTCTCTTCTTTTTCCCCTTCACTTACTTCGATTTGGTTTTTGATCTGTTTTTTATGAGGTGTTCACTGTTCATGTATATGGGGTTTGATAGAAATTACTAGATTTTATAACTGGAATTAGATATTTCGTTAAAGATTAATTTTATTGACCAAAAAAAGAACATTTTCGTGAAGAAAAACAACAATCTTAGGAAGTTAAAGCTTCATATTATGGTAAATGAAGTGGATATAAATAGGTAAACGTTCGCTTTACTTTTGGACAAAGGGATTGTAAGAATCAGTAATGACATAATTTAAGTCCTTATTTCAACTCGCTTATCAAGGATTAGAGTGGTTTTCTCTTCAAACAGGTTTCCAGATTTCAGCATTTAACACTATTCAAAGATGATTCGTGACTTTTTGACTTCATTTCAAACATGAGTTCCTTTCTTGTACTTGGGAAGTATTAATGTGTTGGTAAATTGTACATTTTCATATTGTAAATTAAATCAAGGAGGTTTGATAAATATCAGTTCGTACATTAGTGAGTTGCTTGGGCACAAAATGTGTTTTCAGTTCTGGAACACTAATGTTTTCCAAAGTTCTACCAGCTTATATACAATTGTATTAGAAAACAAGGTTTATATACACTTGTATACTTAAATGTATAGAGTGTATAAGTCCTAACTCTTGAACTTTTTTGAGTTTTTGTATTAATTTTATTCAGGCGATGTTTGGTTTACCTAAGAAACTATTGACCAGGTCAATTTTTGGTTTGGGAAAAGAAGCTTTACTTGATTTGGGTTTAACCATGTATCTCACCTCATTAGAAGCTCAAAAAGTCAAGAAATTTTATGGCAGAAGAATCAATATTATAAAGAAATGGAGTAAGGAAAGAGATGAACATTTGTGACAAAATCGAGTTAGCTTCTCTTATGCTGTTGGCTTATACTGAACTCTACCGCTTAATTTCAGATTTTTTATTATAGTCACGACTAGCAATTGAAACACAAAAAAATTTATAACTTTAAAGATTGGTTGGAGCCCACCAACAAAGGAAGGGACTCTCCAAAAATAGGCGTATGCCACTGAATATGGCAAGAACACGGTATTCTTTAGTAAAAGGCGAAAGAATAGTTCGCTTTGTGCTTACCACATGGCTGCGTTCCTCTTCATCTCTCGGTTGCTTGGTTTAAGTAACGATTCTCACACCTTCTCTTTCATTCCAGCAGCCGATGTGGGATGACTCTTCCTCCCCTCTTCAGCTTTTCTATCTTTATCTTTACTATATTATTGAACATATTGCATCAACTCACTACATCTACCTACTACTTTCATTAGGATAGTTGGATAATTCAATTGATGTCATGAGTCAAAATATATTGAATGAGCTGTTTTTGTTAATTTGGTTATACCATGTAACAGTGACAATGGAAGCTTGTTGATATAAAAACCCTATAATTGTTATCATTTCATTGAGTTTTCCAATTTTACGGATGTAGACCGTGAATTTATATGGGGATGTGAGTAATAAAGTAGTAGCAGACTTTGGATGTAGGTGTGGCACATTAGGTCTTGCTGCCACTCTACTAGATGCAGAGTGAGATTTTTTTAAGTTTCTTCTTCTTGGCTTATTTTTTCAGTTAGATTTTGTTTAATCTTTGAGTTTAATGTGTTTTATGTATCTACAATTTGACTCTAAATAGGTGTTTAATAGACATGTCATTGGCATAGATGTTGATGATGAGTCCCTTGAAATTGCATCAATCAATGCTGATAATCTGGAGGTAATTATGACATCAACAAACACTCTTTTATCCTTTAGCATTCAAGATTTTTTGATAACTATTTATTTGATTTAAGGTTTTTTTATGGTGATTTATTTACCAGGTTGAAATAGGTTTAATTCAATGCGAAATCAAGAATTTAAATTGGCGAGGTGACTTATCTTATTTAACCTTTTTTCTAAATTCCGTTTTATTTTTTGCTAAAAAAAACTTAATAATTACTGATATTTGATAACCTCTGCTATTTTTGAAGGTCAAATTGTTGATACTGTTGTAATGAACCCTCCATTTGGAACACGGAAAAAAGGAGCTGACATGGAGTTTCTCTCTGTCGCATTGAAGGTAAAAAAAATAAAATATTTCCTAACAAATAGCAAAATAAAATTTAATAAATTTTATATTAATTCATTCGTTTTATTATTATAATAATGTGTATGAAATATGAATGTATCGGGTTGCTTCTCAAGCGGTATATTCATTGCACAAGACAACAACAAGAGAAGTATATCTTTGATTTTTTTCTAAACGAAAAAAGGTAATATGTTTATTCTATATTTGATTGATTTTCCCTAAACTTATATCTGGTCATCCATTTTGGTTTTTGAAAAATAGCTCTTACTAATTGTTAAATTGGAATAATTTTTTCTACACATTCTTCCCCATGGTTATTTGCTTATTGGATCTATCAGATCAGAAGAGAAGGAGGATAAGAGAGTTGACAACAGGCTTGTGATCATTTTTCTCTCTTCAACTTCTAATCCATCAATATTATGCTTTACTTATAGCATATACTTGTAATCAAGATTAAGTTTGACAGTTGTGTGTCATCTGATACTCCATTTGTCTGTTGTTAGGGACTGCTATGATTTTTTGAGGGTTGTTATGGAAAATGGAGTAAAAGGATAAGGTATTCTCAAGTATCTTTTCTTTTCTTCATTGTACTTGACATGAATAAGGGTATTTTGTCTTAACCTATTTTTGTACTTAAACAATTGTGATTTATCTGAGTAACTGAGTATGTATTATTTTTTTTTTTTTCTTCAGTGTTATTGAAGATGGTAGAGTATGATTGTGGTCAGATCTGTCTTGAACAACCTTACCCTTGAGAGGTAAGAAAATTGTTTTTGTTAGTATTTTTGGTCATATGATATTACACATAATGAGTGTTGTAACCGGTTTAGATCTACGGTATATTCTCACAAACGAGCCTTAAATCTATATGTATTCAAGCTTCTGGTTTTATTTTGTAAATTGTTGTTCCATCTCTCTTTCATCCTCAAATGTTGTGTGGTATGTGTATTTTGTGCACAAGTGGTTGCTTGTTTCTTCCTGATTTGCAGGTTATTACTAGATCACAATCAGCACTCTCTACTCAAAAAAGGTAATACAAAAGTATTGCTTTCCCTGTCTTTAGTATTTTTTTCTAATTCTTTATTCGTATCTTTTGTCTATCAAGAGGTCAAAATTAGAAATTATGTACTCTCCCTCAAACGCCATTAGAGGATCTGGAAATCATAATTTCATCTAATATTTCTACATAGTTTGTGTTATAGTAAGTTTGTAGACTAGCCTTGGTTTAATTTTTTGTTTTGTAGCTTCGACATCCACCACCCAAATATGGAAAATGACTTATTCCTCCATTTGTTTTTTATGTGTGTTTCAATGAAAGATCCAGGAGGCATGGTTATGTATTGCTTCAATAAGCAAATAACCATGGGGAAGAATGTGTAGAAAGGAAGACATCACAAATTTGAATATATAACACCCATTTTTCCACAATAATCTCATATATCATCCTTTTGTTGATTGGAATATTTGATTCAGTTGTATTCTATCTCTACTCTATAAATTGGCTAATATTCTGATTTGTGTTTCCTCCATACCACTACATTTGGAGATGTTCGCCAATATTCGTGATTGTGGCTAAACTTGAAGTTCGTTCTCTTAATGGATGCATGATATGTTTATGAATTCATTTTTAGTGTTGCTACAATGCTATTCTTGTGCTGAAGATATCTAATGCACACCAATATTATGTTGATGCTTCCTAAACCCGTAGTACGGTGTCAAAGTTTGTTGCTATTGGCAGTGGCGAGCCTACCTTAACACCAAGGGTGTCCATGGACACCCTTTGTTTTGGGGTTTTATTAATACACTATATGATATATATCACTTGGACACCGGTAAAAATTAAAAATGGACACCTCTGGTGAAGACCAAACATAACGAAATCTTGTGAAAATTTTGAAAATTTTATATAATTAACACCGATGTATTAGGAAGTAAGGAGTTGGTTACCAAGAGTATCTTTTCTATAGAAAACAATCAGTTTTTAATACCTAAAATATAAAAGGAAATTATATCAAAGATGAGAAACAAAATTAAAAAAAAAAAAAATTAAGCAATGTAAAAACCCTAAAAAAATCTCTCTCGGCCGCATTCCTTAGCCTCTCTTCGCCATCTCCAGAAGTGATTTGTGTTCATTTAAATCGTTGCACATCTTTGTTTTGAGGTAAACGTTCAAGTCTCCTTTGGTATTTACGATTTAGTGACTCTAGAAAGTTGTAGGTCAAAGTTTAGTTTAGACTCTAGAAAGTTACCGTGCCGAACATGTTTCTTTATTTGACAATTTCTTTAATTATATTATATTTTAACTTGAAGAGCTAAAAGTAATTTTAATAATTTATATCTTCTAATTTCATATTGTTAAATTATATTTAAGATAGTATTATATTTTGTTTTAATGATTTAATGGTATGTGGATCCGTAATTTGACACCCTTAAGTTTTAGTCCTAGATTCGCCACTGGCTATTGGTTGACCGATACAAAAAAAAATCCTTTTGTATATTTGGTTCTTATCTGAGGGTTTTGCTTTATGGGTTTAATCATCTAAAAAGGAAGACATCACAAATTTGAATATATAATATATTCTTGCAGTTAATTAGGTTATCATAAATACTCAAGCCAAAAATCAATAAAATTATAAGATATTGGACACTATCAATCAATATTATAAAAAGATACAACCATTCAATCAAAGTGATAAGTTTTGAAGCTTAAGTTAAGGATATAAGGCGTTACTCAATTAATAATTTCTTTCATAAGATAATTGACACTAAAATTATCATATCAATTACATAACTTTTTTGGTATAATTAAAAAATTTTCTAAAGATTTTTTTTTTGTTTGAATAAAAAAATTTCTAAATTTGTATACAAATTAAAATTATACGCCTTTATTTTTAGGACATTATACTATGAAAATGGTACCGATAATAACAATCCGTTAATGGCTATTTCTTTAAAAGAATATATTTGTTGCCCTCCGAAATGGTATGTAACCCCTAAACCCGAACGCATGATCCTAAAACCTAAAATAAACTATTCACTGATGCATTGAGTGTTCTTTGTAATATAACATGCTTCCAATTTAGCCTAATTTAAAAAACCGCCAACATAACCGAAAATGCTAATTCGGTCCTAACTGGCCCGGTATGGTTTTTCGACCCAAATGCTCATCCTTAAAACTAATGTATACATCATAGCTGACCAACAAACACTAACTAAATACTAAATGGTTGGTTGGACTACCTTCGTTTATTTCCATTAATGCATTTTAATTTCAATTTGGTTCTTGTTAAGCCATTATACTTTGAAAAATATATACAGTTATAACATTGTACTTTCAACTTTTTTCTTATTAAAGCATTATACTTAGATATAAACCCAAATATTTAAGTGGATATTGCTCTAATTAGATAAATACCCAAAAGTATAATGCTATAATATAAAGAAATGAAAGCCTATTATTGTACAAAATAACATAAGTACTATTCGCACCCGTCGCTTGGCGCGGGTAAACAGCTAGTACGTGTTTTGAAAGAAATTATTGGATATTGGATAATTAGAATAAGATATTTGTGACCGATACATTTGACTGACGAAACAACATTAAAAAAATGTTAGCTTTATGAAATTAGTGTTTCATATTGTATTAAATGAAAGGGGGTAAAAAAGTAATTTTCTTTTACTTTTTGATAAAGGTAGTGTATATTTTAGGGAGTGTATGGTCCTAATTGTTTTCCAAAAAAATAAAATTTCTAAGATTATTTGTTCTTGCTGGAGTGGTTAAAACAAAAAGTGTAAATATTTATGTAAACATTAAACTTTGAAGAGTGTTAACAGGTATATAACATAACCTCTTTGGAAACTTCTCTTGAAGGTTAGGTATATAACATTAAATATTTATGTAAATATTAAAACTGTTGTTGAATGTGATTTGAAAATATTGAGATCAAACATAAGAACAACACTCTTGATTGGTTTATGATCAATTGCTATAGTTGCCAAAATGAACGGTTTGGGTAAAGTGAAAACATGTTGAGTCTAGTTTTATATAGATCGATTTCTTTTATGGTCAAAGGTATCAGATGAAACATGAAACGTGGATGAATGGACATCAAGGGATCATCCCAAAAAAATTGGATAATTTACCATGAAGTGCTCATGTTTCAAGGAATGTCATAGGATGGTGTTTTGAAGTTTTAAAAAGAGGATGTGAGAAAAACTTATAACTTAGAAGTCCATCCTTTTTATCCCCTTTAAAATGCAACATCGGATCATCCTTGCATTCCTCCTTATTAGGTATATGCAAATATTTCACCCCTCTTCCTCTCTTCTTATTCCGTTTCTTTTACTTCGATTTTGTTATTAGGAAGTGAGGTTTGAAAGTAAATATTATAGAACTGGTAGGGCACAAATATGAAACTAACAGGTAATTAAGAAGGAACAATTGATGGGAAGAATAGAGTTGCTGCTAATTTTTCTAAATAATTAAGAATAACCTTTAACGTACATAAAATAAAGTGAAGAATCAGCAACAAACGTTCACTACCATAATATTCACTAACAACCCAAATAAGTTGGACTATCTAGAAGACTACTTCTTATTCTAATAAAAGGAAAGGAAATAAAGTGGAATTAAATAAAATAAACTTCCCAAGTAATAAGCTAATAAGTCACGTGGATGATGATGCCTAATTCCAACACCCTCTCTAAACATCATAATCCACCATTCCCATATTCCTATTGTGTTTCTGCAACTGTGCTCCGGTCAAGCTTTTCGTCAAAGCATCTGCAATTTGCTTGACTGACTCTACATGCTCCAAATCAACTTCGCCCTTCAAAACCCTTTACCTAACGAAATGGTAATGGATTTCGATATGTTCTGTTCGAGCATGAAACACTGGATTCCGGGCTACCTTAATTGCATAAATATTGTCACACCATAAGCGAACTGGGTAGTCAATTTTCTGATTCAGATTTCTTAACAGCTCAACTAACCAGACACACTCTTAGGATGCCATAGCTGCAGCTCGATACTCTGCTTCGGTAGTCAACAACGACACAGTTGGTTGACGTTTACTACACCAAGATACAGGGCCCGATCCAAATATGAAAATGTATCCGGAAGTAAACCTCCTGGTGTCTAGATCTCCACCATAGTCAGCATCGCAATACCCGGACAGTTTTGGTTCAACATCCTTTCCAAAATGTATACCCTTACTAGCAGTAACTTTAAGATACTTAAACACCCTTTTTCATAGCAGCCATGTGAGGTTTCTTCGGATCCTGCATAAATCGGCTAAGCACTCCAACGACAAATGCGATGTCGGGTCTAGTTAAGGTGAGGTAGATTAGACTACCCACCATCTTCCGATACTTCGCCGGATCATCTAACTCTTTCCCTTCAGTAGCGTATATTTTTGCATTTCGATCCATAGGAGCTACAGTCGGTTTACATAATGCTAGACCAAAACTTGTGTAACAGGTCAGTAGTGTACTTATGTTGGTGCAACACCATTCCATCTTCAACATAGTTCAACTCCAACCTAA